AAAAAATAGCTAGTGAGACCTCAGCTACAAAACAGGGCTGGGCAGTGGTTGTTATTAAATAAAATGAAAATTGCCCCCCTCCCCCCTCTAGTAGCTTTTGTTTTCCTCCGGTTGTCTCGAGCCTGTCTTCTGTACTCTACTGTTCTCATTATTGCTTGCTTGCATTTCTGTTTTTGAAGTTTCGAGGGCTTATTTTCTGGCCTGAGAAAGAGCTATGAAAAGAAGCGACAATAGAAAATGTGGCAGTGCATTTTAATTTAGTTTTTAACAGCTTAACGTACCCGGGGCTGCCAATTGATTTCGTGCCAGCCCCGGCCTGAGCGTCGCTGGGCCAGCTCAAAGTGGCGCACCCTGCACACCGTAAATCTTTATAGAACACTTTCTGTGCGCTCTCGACTTGGCGAGATTCAGAACTCTCCGTTGCACCTCGGTCCGCCCCTTAATGACCTAACGGGCGGTATTGTTTTGGTTCATTGTTTGCTTTCTATCGTATATTTTAAGTGAGCTTGTATTGTGCATTTCATATGAACTTGTACTCCATACCTGTCACAGCCTTTGTTATTAGTGAACAGTATTCGTGAATAGTATACATGAAAATAATCTTTAGTTTGTGAGCGTTTTAATCTACAAATTCTTTCGACCTTGTTTTTTCTTAACATGTGCAGTCACTTACCAAAATCATTTACTTCGCGATAGTATTACGTATTTTTGTTTTAGTCACTCTAGCGAAAGACAACAGGATCGCGCGGCTTAAATAACCCTTCTTTGTTGGAGGTGAGTAGGCCCAACTCCCTAGGACAAGGGTAAAAAAAAACAATACCGCCAAAATTGGGCATAACATCTTGATCAGCTAGGTTCACTGTGAACAGGACTGCATATAGAAAGTAAAATTGCTATTCGAAGCAACATGGTCCCTGTCGAAGAAAGTTGGTGGTCCCAACTCCAGTGTGAATCATTTCACAAAGTTTAAAGGGGACTTTAGAAGCTGTAGGCTAGGTAGCGCAAGATACAGCCCATTACAATTTAAATAATTAATTCCATTCATTGCCAATTATTTAACGTCTGAATATCTCCTTCTGTTTCTTTCACGTGGTGATTTTTATAAATTCTTTTTTCACCTTTCTGTTGTCATTTTATGCCGCATAATATTCCGCTCAAATGTATGCACTTAAGTTTTTTTTGTTTTTGTTTTGTTTTGTGGCGAAGACGTAAGAGAAGACTTGACGTAAGAATACGTTAACTGCGTTGTTATACTAACTTCTAACACATGTCTGAAAAAATCTTGATGCATTTTCTGAAGAGAGTTTCCGTACACTTAACACGACCCTAGACAAGGTAGAAATTAATCATAATTTAGTAGAAATAATGTTAATTTAATTTGCTGTTTTGCCTTTCATTTGTGAATGTGTACACCATATTTCTACGACTTTAATAAAATTGTCCTTATTTGAATCCCACCTTTGGTTCTCAATTAAAAGACTCTTAGTGATATACAAAACATACAAATAATTCAGTTATACTTTTATTTATTCGAATAAAATAAAACAAAATAAATAAAATAATAAATTAACAAAAACTTTACTGGGTCACGTGCACTAAGTTAGGTAAGGACTTCAACTCTATATACTGTAAACGACCGAATTTTTACAAGGACCTCACTTTCGCGGATTTCACGAATTCAAATTGATAGAGGAAAATAAATCCCGCGAATATATTACCCTATGGTAACTAATTCGAAGCGAAATAATTGCAATCTCAAAATATTGTACCCGCAAAATGTTCCTTAAATTCCTGCCCTGCCAAAACCAAAGAATATCAAGCCCGCAAAAAAAATTATAATTATAATTATATATATATATATACTAAAGTTGTTTAACATTTTGAAACAATCCGAGACTGAGGAAACAGTAATTTTTCTCAAACTGCCAAACGCACAATAAATAAATAAGTGCTCATGACTTCATTGATTAACTTACCAATTAGTCGATCAATGCTTTAATTCCAAATATATTTCACACAGGTTAATTCGTTAAATTTGGACGTTCAATTTCACGCTTTCGCCATGCAGACGTGGACGAGTCTGCATGTCTGAAGGCAAACTCTAGGTGAAATTTTGACCTAATGGAAGTGTAGAGGGCGAGATTCGTAACTCCAAACCAGTGGAGAAGGTTATACCTGTCGCAGCCACCTCAACGCCGTGCGAATGTCCGTTTAGAGCAGCAGAGACAGTGTAGTCAACAACCAAAGGAGTTTTCTATGGCCGCAGAATATCGACGAACCTCTTTGCCCCTGCGACTGAGGTAATAATTTGTGAGTGTGGGTGTCTTTTTTAGTGTTCTCAACCACACTCAAGGTTGATTTAAAATGCAATATTGTAATGCGCCGTTTATTACATATTCAGCAGGGGCAAAACATTCAATTTAGAATGTTTTGTTAAAGGGGTTGCCCTGTAAATATTTTTGTTTCGGGAAACATCTAAATTATATTGTCATTGCTTTTTATGATATCTTCCGCACAATATCCAAATGTTTAACCCTCCCCCGCACGATTAATTAAATTTTAAACGGAGCCCAACTGCTCAGATTTCACTCGCAAAACACCCGGCGTTTTCGTTGGCAGAAGCGGAAGCTCTGACGTAACATCATAAAAAGAGAGCTACCAAAACTCTTGACCGCTGTTTCAGTAAAACAACTTCGTTCTAGGAAAGACAAGATTTATAGTATTGAAGGAAGCCCAGTTTTTCGACTATGATATTTTGTACAGACCATCAACCATGTCGATCAAAGCCGGGAATATGTCAACGCACGCGACTCGGACGTTATTATGTCTGATGTTACATCACTACACGACCAGCCATGCATACTTGCGAAATTTGGCGTGAAATTTCGCATCGATGTTCATAACTGATTTAACGAATATTGAGGCGCATCTTAATGAAATAAATATCATATCTGACTATATTTCAGCCCCTTCTACGTGACCGGCGCGAAAACTTAGTAACTTCCGGATTTCACCAGACAATCCCTTTAACTATTATGAATGGGAATGAACGAAATCGATTAATCGATTCATTATTCGATTAAAGGGAGCCCATTAATCCGGTTAATTTTTTAATGAAGCTCCATCGGTGACTATAGAGCATTTTTCTTTACAGCAGAGCTGTTAGGGGCTAGTTTCCACAGTATCGTGTCCGTCAGCAGACAAATGATGACACGAAACTCTGGACAGCTACCGCCATCTACGAGTGACGGCGGCAACCTTGCCAGCCTTTCCACTTTGGCTTGCCAACTTGCGGCCGGCCATTACTTCATTCCCACCATAGTACAGTTTCGCTTTACTATGGTGGGAATGCTGAAAGTTTTTTTCTCCTGACAAATTTCATTACAAAAAAAATTGCTTATTTTTTTAACTCAGAAAAAAATTTTTTTTGAAAAACAGCTATGAACCGCAACAAGTAAATCGCCGCCTTAGTCTAGCTTCGCATGCACTAAAAAAAAAGTAAGATAATAAAAAAAGAGGATTACCATAAACTAATTGCTCGGGATGATAAAAAAATTAATAAATAGTGATTTAGGAAACGGAACAGCTGGCAAAACGTTTGTTTGAACTATCAACGAAAACGGAATGCGCCTTCCCCTCCAGGTACGCCATCGGCGTGCTGTTCGCTGAGTTTGGGTGAAAAACAAAATTTCGTTTTCATTCGCGTTTTTATGAGGATAAAAAAAAAAACTGGGAGGAAGTAAACATAAAGTCACGTCATGAAGATAAGTTCCCATCGCGTGTCGCTAAGCTTCGCTGGTCATGTTTTCTTAACAATGTTTAGTTTTATGTTGTTGTTGTTGTTGTTGTTTTTTCGTCAAAACCGCATAGGCGGCCAAGTATCACTAAGGAAGTGCGCGTCTGCGAACACGCGGCAAGCATGTTTCAAGCGCATCTTCGCTTCATACGTGTATGTATGCTCCGAACATGTTTGCGAAGAGGTTTTGTACGATCAGTATGACCGTCATACAAGAAAGAAACGCGCCTCGGACATTGTCTGTAGACCAGTGGCGTACCAACTTGTTTTTGAGGGGGGGGGGGGGGGGGGGGGGGGGGCAAACCAGACCCAATTCCCCCCCCCCCCCCCCCCCGCTGGCCCGGGGGCGGTGCCCTTGGTATCCCATGGACGCCACCGGCCAGTGTTCGCCCTGCCCAGTGGTGGCTGTTTCGGGGGGGGGGGGGGGGGCAAAACACATGCCTTGCCCCCCCCCCCCCCCCACTCTAAGAACTGGAGGGGCAAGCGCCCCCCTTGCCCCCCCCCCCCGTTTGGTACGCCCATGTTGTAGACTATAGGAGCTATTCTGTATGGTGCATTAGCAGTGTGACCCCGCTTTACGGCCTTGACGTGCCAACGGCACCCCAGCTACGCGGCTGGGAAAAAACGAAGGCGCACACACCGCATGTATGGGGCAATTAATGAATGCCCACCGACACGGAGAGCAACGTAAAAGGTGGTTCAAATTGGGGCTTAGTTTAACCGTATACAGAAAGTGTCCTCCACTCACTTTACAACGCGCGAGTGAAAATTTTGTTACCTAATGAAAGGATGAGACTTTGTTGTAAGCCAAAACTTTCTCTCTTTTTTTATTGATTACATTGGTATCTTTCTTGTGTAGATTGACAAATAGACCCGACAAACCTGAAAAACAGCTCGCTGTTCAAAACAAATGTCCCCTAAGCTGAGAGCTAAGCGTATGTCCTCACTAATATACGTTTCAACATGGCAAATGTTTTAAATGCCTTTTTTTAATAAAAATATTAAACAACCTAGAAATTGTATTATTGATGGAAAAGTATACCATAGGAGCTACTTCCCGCGTTAGGTAAATCGAAAACTTAAAAGCTGTTGGAAGCTTCCTCGAGATAGTCCTGGACGACCGGCTATGATTTAACGCAGGCATCAAAATTGTTGGCATCAAAGGATGACGTAAAATAATGCGTATAAAGAAAACTTTATAAAAATGTTAAAAACTCAAAAACTGAACGATTTGGTTCTCGCCGAGCTCATTATAACGCCTTCGCTGTTTCCTTTGCAGGGCTTTCTAGTGCTCCTTGTGGGCGCTGCGCTCGCCGAGGAAAAGGACAGCTTCTCCATCGGTCTCGGCGTGCTGTCCCCATCCTACAGCCAGAAGATCGGCGTCGACGGGAGCACCAAGGTTGACTTCAACCAGGAAAAGAGCGGCTTCTCTTACTCCGTCAGCAGCGGCAACCCGGCGGAAAAGGGGTCTGCAGGCTCCCCGACCAAGCCCTACTCGCACATCAGCTTCAGCCAGCAGTTCCAGGAGCCCCGCTCCAAGGGCGCCGGTGAACTGCAGCAGGTCGCCCAGCACCAGGCACCGCCGTCCCAGGCGTCCTACGGGCAGGGAAGTCCCTACGGCGGGGCCGGAGGACAACCCGGAGCCGGGGGACATCCGGGCGCCGGAGGTCATCCCGGTGGCGGAGCCCACGGCGGAGCTGGAGGTCTCGTATTCAGCGCGCCCTACAACGCAGGCCCAGAAGCGGCCAAAGTCCAGTACGTACCGCAGGGCTACGCTCCGGGGCCACAGGCTGCGCCACAGTACGCGGGCTACGGAGGAACATCGGGACCCTACAGCTTGTCCGCTGGTGCTCAGCACGGAGCTCCTCAGCAGGCGGCTGGGTATGGTTACGCCCCTTCAGTCTTCAGCGGTGGCAACTCACTGGCCGCCTACGGCGGCTCACCTGGAGGTCCTCAGGGAGGCTACGGTGCTCCCCAACAGGCCGCCTACGGAAGTCCTCAGGGCCACCAGGGCTTCGCTGCCGAAAATGCAGCCGCACTTGCGGCCGCGCAGCAGCAGGCGTACTCTCAACAGCAACAGGCCTACGCTCCTCAGCAGCAAGCTCTTCAGCAGTCTTACGCACCACCCCAGCAAGCTTACGCCCCTCAGCAACAGCCATCTTTCGCCCCTCCGCAGCATCTGTTCGCTGCACCCCAGCAATCCTACGCACCCCCTCAGCAATCCTACGCGTCGCCCCAGCAAACCTACGAGGCCCCGCAGCAGGGGTACAGCCCTAGCATCTTCTCTAGCAGCCACAACCAGGGGCTAGGCTCCCTCGCCCACTACAGTGGAGCCGGAGGTGCAGGCGGTGCCGGCAGCGCTGGTGGCGCTCCATCCCATGGTGCGGGACACGCTGCCGCTCCGAGTGACACCGGCTCTGCTCCGCAGTACGGTGCCAACATCTTCGGCCCAGCCCAAACCTTCGTGCCTCAAGGTCCAGCTATTTACGGTGGTGGCGCTGGAGCGGCATCTGCCCTTCATGGAGGCTACGGCGGTGGCAGTTCCGGTGCCGGAGCCGGAGGTCCTCACGGCTACGGTGGCGGCGCCGGTGCCGCGGGAGCAGCCCTTCAAGCCTACGGCGGTGGCCAGGGAGCCGCGGCTGCGCTTCATGGCGGCTACGGTGGCGCAGGAGCTGCCGGAGCCGGCGCAGGTCTTTACGCTGGCGGAGCCACTGCTGGAGCTGCTCTTCACGGCTATGGTGGCGGTGGTGCCCCAGCTGGTGCCGCCCTTCTGGGATACGGTGGCGGCGCCGGAGCCGGGGTGGCACTTTACGGTGGTCATAACGGTGGAGCCGGCGGAGCCGGTGGAGCTCTACATGGCTACGGTGGCGGAGCTGGTGGAGCCCTTCAAGGTTACGGCGGTGAAGCCGCGGGCTCCGCCACTGGGGCTTCATCGTACCCAGGAGCTGCCGGAGGCTACGCTCATCTCGCCGGCCTTACGGGAGGCCACGGAGCAGCATCCGGAGTGCAGTACGCTTCCGGAGCACCTTCTGGCGGGCCCCAACCCGGTGGATACGCTCCGTTTGCTGCAGCCCTCAGGGCCGGTGGATACGGAGCGCAGGGAGGCCACGGAGCGCACGGAGCACATGGAGGAGCCCACGGAGGAGCCCAAGGAGCCGGTGGCTACGCTGCCGCGTCGTCGTTGCCGCAGTTCCAGGCCTACCACGCACAAGGTCAACCACAGGGAGCGTATAAGCACAAGTGAGCCGTGTCTGCGAGCACGATCTGCTGCGGCTGTGCTTGCTCCGGGCCCGCTGACAGCGTCTATTTATTTAAGCCTCGCGCGGCAAGTCACGCCGGTGTTCTTAGGTGAAGCGATCGACGGATCTGCCGGGCGTGACAACAGTGACCCCATCGTTGCCCGTAGTCTGTGAATTACAATGCGAGGGGGAAAAACAGCCGGGTTAGTTTTCTCGAAGTAGCAAACAGTCGAAACGAACGATCTGAAGCGAGATTGGACAGGTTAGTTGGTTCAACTTGGCAATAAGACCGTTCCTATCGCGTGCTTCGAGAAAACGAGTCCAATGTCACATGATTATTTGGGCAAATCAATCGGATATGGTACTTTTTTTTTCCTGTTTTTAGAGGGCCGGGGGGGTGAGTTTCCAGCTACCAGGACTGTGATTGTATGCATATATTTTATATTGTTATTATCACTCAACTCTAGAGCAAATATTCTTTCGTGGCTGGACACAATAAAGTGCCTTAAACTCGATGTTTTGAAGCAGCATTTAACTAGTTTACGTCAACGGATCCAATGTAAAACAAGAAGTGCACTTTGGTAACTTTTTTTTTATTTCAAGAACACAGTTAAAGATGAATAGTGACTTATTCAAACCACTTTGTTGTAAACTCTAGTTCATCTGAATGTGTGTATACAGAAGTTTCGTTCACATCAAATATTTTATATTAAAAAAACGCAACTACTATAGAGCCAACTAAAGCAAACAGAGGGTCTGCTTAGCTCATCTAATTTCTTCTGCAAAGCTTGCCTGCGGCTAACAGCCTAACGGACTAAAACATGCTGGCATATAGAGGATAAGAGTGCCGAGCGGAGCAAACCCCATTTCACACTTCAAAAATAATAACACGAGAATGAACCAGTAATCATGATTGGTAGGTAACTTTTTTCTCTAAATTGTACTTCGAAAAATGTTCGCAAGTCAACGTTCCTTCATAGCGTTCGGAGAGTCAATGACTGCAATCTACGTAGAGAGTTCAGCGAATTATGGAAACACTCGGAAAAACCTTCGAATTAAATTTGAAATAGTACACTGAATATGACGCCACATGGAAAATGTCATGATCAGTGTAGCCTCAAAGACTTCATTTCGTGTTATCAACTTTTTTTTTTTGTTTTGTTGTACAGCTAAGCTCCACCGTGGATCGCACTGATTCGCTTTCCAAAGTTTTCGTGAAGATTTAAGCGTGCGAAAATTTTTAGATAGTGAATTCCTCTAGCGATTGAACAGAAAAACCGGGGTCACACTGCTTATACATCATACAAAAGACAGCCCGCATACAGATTCGAACGCAAGTCACCTGTGAGATCCGTGGTTTGAATGCCGCGGGGCAATGAGTTCAAGGAGAAACTCCGGCACGCGGCATTCGAACCACGGACATTGCGTTGACTCGTGTTTGCAGACTGTCTTTTGTATGATGTATGCGCAGTGTGAGTCCGGCTTAAGACTTGCCTAATATGTGAATCTTTCAGAGAAATTTGAATAACAATAAAGACTTCTTTGACACAGACCGTTTCGGGAAAAGACTCCTTCTTCAAGGAAGGAAACCTATGCCCAAAACGTCTGTGGTAATAAACACTCTGTTGTTAATCAAACTTTTCTCGACGTTTAGAATTTATTAGTAAGAAATATATTGAGTAATCTCAGTTTAATATTTTAATGTGACACCAAATTAACAATCCATGGAGGGGTAACACACACCAAAAATTCAAGCTGCTTACTCTCACTTTTTTTTATCTTGTGTTGTCATTCAAGTTGCAACAATACGCTTTTCAATTTGTTTGGGACGTCTGAAGACTCGTGACGCCGCGTTATTTACATTCTTCCAATTTAATACAGCTTATCTTCGGCGTTTCGAAATTTAATAACAAGAACCCGCTTCCTAAGTTGGGATCCATCTTTATATAATAATGTATTTATTAATAATAACCTCAAATCCAACCATATTACAAGAATTTCTGTGTGAAGTCAATATCGAAAATTCCGCTGTGCAACACGCGAGAAGACCTCCAAAAAGTGCAGGAAGATTATTTATCTCAGTCGCAATACTATGTAAACAAAACTTGTTAATTAATGGCCTCATTTTTTTTTCTAAAAATTAATTTGAGGAAACGCTTGCAATGTTTAACCATTTACAAACTCGATTGTAAGTTCTGGTGTAAGATGCTGTTTGCTGTTTGCGCTTTTATTTATTTTATGACGCACCTGTTTCAGAAATGAGCTGTGATGTGTGATCACCGTATTTTATCACAACCTACTCCTTTTGCATACCATATGCTTAATACGCTCAAATAATTAATGCCCCGAGCAGCTCTGCTGTTAATGTTTACCTTTTATCTGATAACGCCGTTACAAAGTTACCTAGAAAATACGGTCTAAAACGTTCCGTGTATTACTGTGCCCAGTCAGGATCATCTTTCAGAGAAACGTACGTTTACTTTGTTGTTTCGGAATGGGTATTTTATACGGTGCAAGCTTTTCTTTGAGGCTGCCTCGACATTAAAGTTGAAAAGACGTACTCTATTCTCGATTGCCCGATGTATGAGCGCCTCGCACATCATATGTAATCGTGTTAGCCGATCCAGTCTCGCCCACAAATGCTACAGCTTGCTGTCTGGAAACATGTGTTGCTGCGCTTGCGTTTGATTTCATTTTTTCCGTGTGTTGGCGTTTCTTCTTTGTTTTTATCTTTTTTTTAATCGCGAGCTGTAAATACGATTCATCTCAGTATCACGTGCAGGATCATTAGTACGTGCGCAATTCACTGCGATGTTTGTGTCATTGAAATTGTCTCTTGTTGTTGTTTTGCTTCTGTTTTTATTCGCACCAATGCTTGTTCCGAGTGGTTCGAATAAAGCACAGACTTGTGATTCTTTTTCTTTTCTTTTTTGACACGTGTGTTTTCTTGGCTTCTGTGTCTTCGTTTGAATTCACTTGGGAATGCTTCAAATGTCGTCTCAAGTTTGCTATCATTGCACCGATGGACGTTAGAAACACTGACCGTGATTTCCAATCCTTCCAGTACAACATCCTCCAATACTTCTCAGAAAATAAGACCCGTTCATGACGTCATCATTTGCAGATTCCCGACCCGCCCCAAGCGACAAACACGACAAGCTTGACGAAAGACGCTTGCAAATCGGCAGACGCGTCCGTCTTGGCGATGCCGGGTATAGTAGCGTAGCGGTTGTTGCGAGACGCTGCGAGGCGCTCTGGTGGTGACGCTGACGCATGCTATGGCGGCACTACGGTGATCCACGATAGTCGGCGAAAGTTTAATAGTAAAGTGGAAGCTCCTCCCACCTGTTTACACTTTGGCAGAGCGAACGCTGGAGAGGAGGTGACCTCCTATCCAGCATTCACTCTGCTAATGTGGAAACAGGTGGGAGGAGCCTCCACTAATCTGCTGGCACCGACAGTAGTATTGACGTTTGTGGGAGAAAGGCACAGCCTTTGTCTTCTATGTGGTATTGCCTCCTTCGTGCCAGCCAGACATCTCGCTGCACTTCGTTAACATCGCGTGACATTCGACAACTCCGAGCTGTCCAGCGGCAAATTAGTCGCAACTGAACGAGCGCGTAAATGTGTGGGATACGTCTGTTCTCGAAGCGGTTAACGTCGACACTTGCAGTTGCACCGCTTTCCGAAACGATTGAGCACCTCCTCACTCCTGAACACTTCGAAACGCACGAGAAAATGAAAACACGCTGGAACAATGGCGAGCACATGCCGGAAAGGCAGAATGCCCGGATGTCCTTATACACACCCGAGTAAAATGTAAAGGGGAGCGAAAGCAGAAGAAATTTTGCGAGGCCGGGCGACCTAAACGAGTCAATGCTGCGTAATGTCTAGGACTAATTACCTCGAGTGTTTTCTCGTTTCATGGCATCACAAAGAAGCAAGAAGACGGAAATAAATGTAAATAATTTGACAAGTTCAACCTGACGGACCTTGTCCAGCATGGCCACAAAGCCTCGAGAAACACGGAGCGCGGTTCATTATCTTCGCGTATATTTCTTCGTGATTCGTTCTTTCGTGCTTCTCTTTGGAACGCAAGTTCGTCTGCTTCTTGAGCAGATGTTTCGATGACGTCAGAACGCCGAGCTCTGATTGGTTCCGATCGGAAGGATAGTGGGTAGACCTCAGGGCACCTAGCATCGAGGGCTACCCACTATCCCCCCATGAGAGCTAATCAAAGATCGGCGTTCCGACGTCAGCGGAACCCCTGAGCAAAAAGCAGACGAACTTGCGCTCCGCAATGGCTAATGCTGCAATCTCGCTGACTGCCCCGAGTGATACTAAAAATGCTCAGGACTCAGGTCGGTGAGTTTGATCAAGCAAAAGACAATGTAAAGACGGTGGGTTCACATTTCACCACCGCTGGTATGACGTGACTGCAAATAGATGAGGTAAGCTTTCCTGTAGTAGATTGTTTTTTGTTGTTGATGTTGTTTTGTTTTGTTTGTTTGTTTTTAGCTACAATAATAGTATACCTGATGATGATACGATGCGTGCGGGAAGGCGTCAGCGGAGCATCGGGCGGTATCGTTACAGAAACACAAAGAAACGAATCGGTACACAGTCCCACCACACAGACATTATCCAAAAGTGACAGTGTTCGCTGTGGACATAATGACAGAATGATTTGCGGGCACGCATTGTGCATGTCTGGAGTATGTTTGCTTCCTACATTTGTATGCTTGGAACATGTATGCAGACAGTTTATTGTATGACAAATGTGATAGTCTCGTCATACAAGGAAGAAACACGCACCAGACTGTCTCCACATTGTTTTTGGTATGATATATTAGCAGTGGGACCATTGCTTAATGACTCTTCAGGGTGAGTCTGTGCAATGCACCTGCGTGTCAATCAAAGAATACCGGGTCATATCTGTGTCTCGTGTCTGACCGTGTCGGGCACGAGACATAGACGTGGCCTGTAACCTCTCTTCGCCAATCGT